ACACACACACACACACACACACGACCCCACAGTTTGGATGCTAGGAAACTAACAGGTGTAACCATAGCAACAGTGATGACTTTTGGAGTGTGGGCGGAGCCCCAGTGATGCTCTCCCTGAACTAAACGTGATTCCAGCTAAATGCTAACATAGGGTCAAAGGTCAACTCCAGTGTGACATCGTGCAGTTTTCTGTTTGGTGGATTATTTTCTATCTTTATGTCTTAAATATAGAATCAGTGAAAAACGTTTCAACTCCGTCTCCTGGAAACAACTTTTATACACGACGCACTGCATCACAACGTACATCCTCCCAGCACCCCCGCCGGTGTGTGTGTGTGTGTGTGTGTGTGAGAGGAGGCTCAGTTCAACATGTCCTGAATAGACTCATTCATTGATTTTCATGAGAAATGATCTGTGTGTTTATCTGGTTGAGCATCTTGTCATCGGAGGAAACTCGAGTGAACTGTGTCTTTGAACAGGAAACTGGGACGAAAGGAAAAAATAGAAATGCAGCTAATTATGGAAAATTAATCCATAAAATCCAATAAACTCTTCAGAAATAATTTCCAACAGGTCTCAGCTGATTTGAGAAACGTGTGTGTGTGTGTGTTACTAACTGGGCTGATTGACAGAAGTGGCGAGCTAAGGCGGCACCATCTGTTCCCGTCTCATCTAATTATAATCGAGTCAAAGTGGCTGAAGTCGTCACTGAGCGTCCTCCACGTCCTCGTCACAGACATCACAGACATCACAGCCGCCGCTCCACTGCGGACGTGACCTTTCATAGACCAACATTTGTGAAACTCAGATTCACATCTAAAAACACGGTTCATAGAATCTGATTTCTCCCCCCGCCGCCGCTCAATGCTTTCTGGAGACGGAGCTGATATCGGCTCGCTATCAGTGGAACAACGGTGAAAACATCTGCCTCATTAAGACTGAATCAAATCCTGCTTCAACATCGTGTCTGCAATCTACGAGACAAATCCCATCAGACGCTGATGAGACGAGACAACATCATTATACACTGTGAGAATATCAAGTTATATACATGAACATATATATATACTGATCGTCTTCATTATATATACGTGTGTGTGTGTGTGTATACATATACACACACACACACACACACACACACACACATATA